TGTGTTTGCGTTTGTGTTTATGTCTATGTGTATATGTGTGAGTGTGTGTGTGTGTGTGTGTGTTTTTGTGGGGGGGGGTTGTCTATGTGTGTGTGTGTGTGCGTACGTGTGTGTGTTTGTGGGGGCGGTTGTCTATGAGTGTGTTTTGTTTTGTTTTTTCTGTTTTTTGTGTTTTTCATTTTTTTTAACATACATATGAACTTTAAAAATAGAAATAAAAAATGGGGTTGTAGATCTCCAAAAGATCTGCAATCTTATAGAAAAACTTCAAAAAATAAAATAAAAACCTATATTTTTTGTTGTTTTTTTTTAGCATTTTTTACCCCCCCAAAAAATATTCCTGCGCCCGCGCTCAAGGCTTTGAGCGCGGGATTGAGCGGGGCTTAAAATCTTTAGCGCCGGTTAAAATCTTTAGCGCCGACCGCGCGCTCAATCAGCGCTCGGTTTCACAGCCAAGTCCCACTTACGCTGATCTTTGATTTCTGGTCGTTGATCTTCCGAATCTGCAGTCAGAAATAGATCATTCGGGAAAGTGGGACTTGGCCCCGGTTCTCAACAACCAGATACTATCAAGCTTTAACGAAAAAAAGAATCTGATGTATTTTTGGAACGCGGTTGCGGTGAAAAGTTGCGATGAAACTACGGCGGAAGTCCTTGGGGACATCCGGGGCGATGTCCCACGAGCCAAGAGGATCGGATAGAATGCCCGCATCTGGATGTGTTTGTAGAGAGGTGCAGGAAATCGAGATTGAACTTCTTTTCTGCATCTCTGCGTACAACACATCCAGATTCGGGCATTCGATCCGATCCTGTTTGCTAGTGGGACCTCGGGCCCGTTAAAATTGGAACGATACAGAGAAGATGAGCATGGCCCCTGCGCAAGGATGACACGCAGAAATCGAGAAATGGTCAAAAAAAAAAAAAGGAAAAAAAAAAGAAAGAAAAAAAACTACGGGGAACGCGTTATTTTCTTAAACTAAGGGCATACTCAGGGCATACTCACAGGAGGACCAAAAGACCCAAAATCCCAAAATTTGAGTCATTTTTCCGGTCACACTGGAGAGGCTTGCTACCGAAATGCCTCAAACGGTGACCCTTCTGTCAGCGGCCTGGGCCGCGGGGGACCCTTTTTGAGACCACCTCAGGAGATGGTCTCAAATTGCCTTCCGTTTTTTTTTTTTTTTTCTATGTTTGCCAATTGAAGAGAATAGTAGACGAAGAAGACAGCCCGCCAAACAACTGAAAGTGCGACCAGGAACATTTAGGCTGTAGAGAAGGCCCACGTGTGAAAAAAAAATAATAATAATAAATTTTCCATCTTTTCGTTTGGTCCGCCAAGGCCCAGGTGTGAAAAAAAATAATAAAAAAATTCCATCTTTTCGTTTCTTCCGCCCCGTGTGACCGGGTGCACTTGCCCTGAGTGCAAAGTGTCAGGGTCGCGACTTCGTCCTTTGCAAAGTGTCAGGGTCGCGACTTCGTCCTTTCTGGACGAGGTCCGCCCGTGTGTCCAGGCGGGGACCGAATGCCTCAGAAAACCCGAACGAAATGCCTCAAATTTTTGAGACTTTTGGTCCCCCTGTGAGTATGCCCACACTGGACGCAAAAAAATAGTGACATTTGCGAGGGCTTTTGTGATATTTGAGTTGGCTGCTGGTCACACCTAACCGCCCGTGCCATATGGGACAAGGCCGCAACTTTCTGCACGTCAGAATTTGCGTTATTGTGCAAGTCACACACAAAGAGGGATTGTTTTTTTTTTTTTTTTTTTTTCAACTTCTTTTTCCCATAAACTCGTGGGAAAGCAATACTGCATTTGTGCTCACTTCTTGAGGTAGACACAAAAATGCAGACTGCGGCAACAGCCTGTGGGAAAAAAACACAGTGACGCGGAAAACAGAGATGCATACTTAGCAAACCAAAATCAAAGTTTTGAACAAACCCATACGGGCTCCACCTTCAAAATCTCTAAACATGGTTCACACTTCACACAACTCGA